AGGTTAGACTTGGGGAGTTAGCACAGAGTACGAGGGTCAAGTACACGGACATGGGCGTCTTCAGCGCCGTCGCGGGTAACCAATGACGTGAATTGCAAAGAGAAAAAGAAGAAGAAAGGGTCTCTTCCACCTCCCGCGGACGCACACGTCTGACGACAGTTACATCTATCAGCTGTCGCTCGTTTTAGCGACAGCTACTATATCTTACGCCTTCGCGAAAACCCGCTGCAGGCCCGATACGACCCTGAAGAACGTCTTCGGGGAAGCAGCCTTGGCGGCCTTAAGGATCGCGGGATGTTGGGCGGTAACAGCCCAGAGAATCTCGGTGTCCTCCAAGAGGACGAGCTTGGTGGACACCGAGAGTCTCCAGGCAGTCAAGGCCAAAAAAGTCCGCGATGCTACAGGTGGCGAAGCCTACCATCCCGACGGCCTTCTTCAGGGGCATCGCGGGCCCGCAGCGGGCGTTCACCGAGGCGAGTCGACCAGGTGTGCGCTCCACGCCACACATACATCCCACAGAGGAAAATCGAGACGCAGCGCGGACCTGGAGACCACCGTAGTCTCACAAAAAGGTGTTCTTCGTACAAAACTCGCTCGTTTTCGTCGTCAGCCGAATACCAAGGTCGACCGCAAGTAAAGGCACAAGCACACATCCAGCGTGCTGTCACGCCCACGGCAGGAGAGAAACCATACTCGTGCGACGACAAAGGTGCCCGTCCAGTGACCTACTTAACGTTCCCGCAAACCACGCAAGGACACCGGCCGATCAATGCCCGACAGAACTAAACTGGTAGCGCATCGCCCGTAAGCTATAGGAGGAATCACCTTTTCCGTGTCGAAGCTCCTCTCCAGGCCGGGTCGATAGTGAATAATAGGCCGCTGTTGGCGATCGAAGCCCCTAACGTACATCTTGCCGTACTTGGCCTCCTCGGCCACCTCGTGTCCATGAAAACATACGTGAATAAAAAAAACAAACAAGAAATTAGTCATGGTGGAGGAGCCGTTTCTCTGTCTCGGAGTCAACAGGCAGAGGGCGGGGGCACCGTTTGGGTTGCGAACAACCTTGCTTCTCGACCACTGTGTTTTGTAGATTAAAAGGTATGAATTCCAAGCAATGAACACCCTTGCTTCCAGTCCGTACTACATAGTATGCGCCTCGCTGATGCAGATGGCCCCCAAAGTAGGCGAAGGTACGGAGTGGGACGGATCACTACACACACACACACACACACACACGACACCAAGCTCGGCAGAGCCAGGTCGTTACCGCAATGCAGAGCATGAAGAACCACAGGAAAACAAGCCCTCGCCGCACACGTTCGGCGCAAATACGCCTTGCTCACGGCCACCAATTCACGATCGATCCTGCGCGCACCATGCTGTGGCTGGCGGAAGGGGGCGAATGCCATGAAAAGACAACCAACTGCACGTGGTTTGAAGGCCTCGGCGGGCAGAAAGTGGAATCAATCACCTGTTCGTCCGTCAAGAGGTGCGGGGTTGCATCCTCGCGCCAGCGCACCGTGCTAGCGACCGCGTCCGGCAGCGGCTGCCCCATCGACTCCATCGTCCAGTACGCCATCTCCAAATACCTGGTACGTATCGCGCCACGCCATAGACAGGAGGAGAACGGATTCACAACTTTGCCGTTGGAAGACAACTATAACATGAAAAAGTTCCATCGCCTTCGATGTGAGGACACCGCGCGCGCCAAGCCAGCAGCGGTTCTTGCGTGTGGTGAGATACTTTTCAACGACGCGTTTACCACCAGCAGCTCAAAAACATCTATATATACAATGAACTTGAAGTTCAGTCGCTGTTGCCAGTTGGCGAAGCATCCAAAGGCCACTGTTGATGTTCATGGTGTACAATCCCTACCAGTGTTCTCGTTACTCCCGAAAACTAATACTCGGCGCCAAGGGGGATCAGGATCTCGTATTATGCGACGCACGTTGGATCCCCTCTTGACAACATCTCTTTGCGGAATTTCTTGCATCGTATTTGGTAAAACCCTTTGATAACGGATTACAGGACATGCACGCCACTATCTCTTTCTTTGCCATGACCCCACCTCATCAGCAGCTCGTCGTCAAGCTCATGCCCTGCCGCTTTGGCGCGCCCCCAGAACTCAGAACCATACCGCTCCTCAACCTTCCGCCTTAACTCCTTCAAAAGGCCGGCTCTGCGAGCGTCCTCCTCCCCTCCCCTATCACCATTCCTTCCGCCTCCTCCCCGGCCGCCTCCTAGCCTCGCCACAACACGCCCCCATAGAGCCTGCAACGCCCGACGCTTTCCCTTCGCCGTGCCCCCCTCGGTGGCCTTTTCTTGTCTGGACGCCGCTTTTCTCTCCTTGGACGGTTTTCGAGAGTGCACCTCCTTCGCGCCACCAGTATCGTCCTTCGCCCGCCGTTTTGCCGCCTCGGGACTTGGTACGAACATCCCCGGCGCCTGTTGGAGAAGTCTTCGCCCATCGCTTCGGCTNACGGTTTTCGAGAGTGCACCTCCTTCGCGCCACCAGTATCGTCCTTCGCCCGCCGTTTTGCCGCCTCGGGACTTGGTACGAACATCCCCGGCGCCTGTTGGAGAAGTCTTCGCCCATCGCTTCGGCTATCGCTGCTGCTGCTGCTGCTGCTGCTGCTGCTGCTGCTGCTGCTGCTGCTCCGTTTTCTCTTCGTCTTGTCCTTGCTGCCGGCCTCGCCATCACTACCGTTGTTCTCCAGTTCCAGCTTGAGCTTTCGCCTCCTTCGCCAGTCGTCATGGCCCTCTCGTAGCTTCCCGAGAACACCTTTTCGATGCCATGGACGGATCCCGGTCTGCAAAGAGGAATGGGCAGCACGTGCAACGACGGAGAGGGGGATGAATTCCGGTCCCCAATGCAGCCGGATGCTTGGGGAACACAACTTCAACACGAAAACTATCGAAACTTTGTGTCGGTGTTGGAATTATATTTCTCACCCGAAATCTCTCGCATCCAACCTATATACCTCGATCAAACTTCCCCGCAGCAGAGAGGAGTGAGACGCTCAACGGAGAACGAGGTTGCGTACTGCTGTATCATCAAATGAGAAAAAGGCTTCGTGTCACGAGCCAGGCACAATCATTTGCACGATATCGGGTGCTTGTAACTCTTCATTAGGCTACCTTGGCAAAGAAAAAGAAAACGCGGAAAAAATTTAGCCATTAACAATGCAGCCTACATATTTCGTGTGCACGCCAAGTTCGAATTTCGACTTGCCGATCGGCGAGGGACGGAACGGGTGAACTACTTCTACCATAGCAATCGAGGCAAGTGCATCCGAAGGAAGGTGGAGGGGGATACAAAGAAGCGTGAGTGTGGTCTTTCTCCTTTCTACTATCCTGGTGGTCTTCATTCATTCTGTGCGACCCGGCTGGAGCACGGTCCGAAAAACAACATACCGAAAGGTGCACCAAAAATCCGAGTCCCGAAAAAATGGTGTAGGATTAGGACGACAAACAAGAATCATGTCCGCAGAGTTCGACAATGTGGAAAGGTCGATCTCCTCGTATGGAAGTTTCTCATTTTTAGTTTTTGTTGCCGCCATAGGTCTGGCGTGGCACTGGTCAGCCGGTCGCGCGGTGGATGCCAATCAATCAAGGCCGCGGTGGAGTTTGCACATCTCTCCTCTACACAACCAGGAAACCCCTGATTATCTTAGTTTTCCAGAGTCTAACTCCAGTACGAATCTACCATCGCACATCAACCGTCCGCAGATGTCGTGTGTGTACCATGATAAAAAAGTACATAGCTCAAGTCGTAGTCCTTGTGACAATACCGTTTGCTGTCCGCGATATTCCAAAGGAGTATTTTTCCATCGAGACCGGTGAGCCGCAGGATTCTTGGAACTGCTGTGCGGTTCGATTTTCGAACGCTTCAAACACCTGTGCGTATGGCGAGACCTGCATATAGTCTACATGACCCCAGACATTCAAATCGCCTCGGCGACGAGTAAAATGTGTGAGGGAAGAACTGCGCTGAAGTTCGCGGTCCAACGCACTCACGTGGGCGCTGATTTGCGGTCATTGTGCGCTTGAAGCGTTTGGAGGATCGCATCGCACAGCAGCTTCAAAAATCCCGCTTGTAGTTCACCGATCTCGACGGAACACGGATCCTTTGGGAAATCGCGAACCGCAAATAGGTGGTGTATCACAACGACCTTTGTACAATCTGAGCAATTAATACAGTAACATTAACACTGTACACGAGCGACATCTGCCGACGGTCAAACGGGCACAGGGTCATAGATTCGCACTACAATACAAGAGATATAGACTGCGGAAAACCAAGGTATGCAGGCGTTTCTCGTTTTTTCGAGAGGTGATGGCCAACTCCACGGTAGCCTTGCCACAGCGAAGTCCACTGCTGTACAAACGGAAAATTGATCATTTTTATTATTTGCTCGTGAGCTGGGAGGAAGAGCTACGCAGCAGGAAGCAGTATGTACGCTTCACAGAGTAAGCCACAAAATAGTTCCCATCTCTATCCATATCCACAGGCAGTGGTATCCTCGTAATCCGCTAGTCGCAGAGGTCGTGAGTTCGAATCCCCATGGGGTGAAAAATTACGAAATGTGCGGGTGAAAGCGAAATATAGCTGACAAGCTCTCGTGAGTACCAAACTTCGACGTTAGCACCGTTGACGAGGGAAAGGGACGGCTGGACCCTTCTCGCGATAAAAATATAAAATTCAGCACGCACCGCAGGAGGAAGGTGGGGCACGAAAAGAAATAAAACGAAGAAGAAAGCCCTGGTGTTTCCCCCCTCCTGTGTGACCCTGGATGGTTGTAGTTGTACGAAAACATACACCGGTCGCCCCGGTGGTCTAGTGGGTAGCCTCGCAGCCTGCTAAGGGCCAGGTCATGGGTTCGAGTCCCGACAGAGTGAGTTTTTTCTCGCTTATTAAATCCTGGTCTCCGTTGGAAGCGACGCGCTGCAAAGCTCGTTGTTAGTAAACTTGATCGACTTTATAAGTCGCGAGGGAAGGGATTGCTGTTGTTGTTGTTGTCTTCGTCTGCACCCTTCTCGCGATAAAAATATCTCAGGCAGGAACCGCAGGAGGGGGTCCAGCCCCCCCCTTCTTTGTGACCCCGGTTGGGTCGTCTAGCTGGTAGAAGTGGAGGATAGGGGCCAGAGGGGCAGACGACAGAGTCCAATGATGGGAGAAAAAAAAAAAAAACTGAAAAGTGTAGTACTCTACATACCCTGAAAAGTGTGGTACACGTCTCACCACGAAAAATGGGGGGACTGCTGTCGCCATAATAAATAGGACGAAAACACACACACAAACAGACAAAACACACCATAACGCCCGCGGGTGAGCCACTCAAATTCAAGACGCACCTATGCATACTATGCATAGAAAGTACGAGATAGAGCCCCAGATAAACCAGAAATGAAGCGTAGGGTGAGCAGATGCGCAACACTATATCCACTTGGCTGTCTCACGACTACGATTCCCTCGCAGCAACATCGATATCGTCCCCTGTGGGCAATAGGCTTAACAAGACCGTAGCTTGGTGACCTTGTTTTCTGACTACACCACAAAACTAAACGTTCTGCTAGGAAGGTACCTGTATAGACGAGGAATCGAACATGTTGATTTGATGTGAACAAAATCAACAACGACAACTAACACCAACACAGAAACACAACGTGCCATCATGTGGCGTGAGGGATGTGCCTCACAGCGACTGGAAACACACGCAGGCAAGGTTGGACAGAGGAGGCGGCTTGATACATATAGTACGTACAAATCTCACACATCCAAGTACAAGATTCGTATAGAAGGAGCTGACCTTGCGATATCATCATCAACCACAGGTCATCTGAATATGTGTGAGGGTTGAAAGTGCTGAGCTGTTCGTGGACTGCTGTCTGCTGAAAAGTCACGATCCTGCAGCCTGCAGCATGCAACCCAATCTGGTCGTCAAGTTCCAAATCGATACATGAGAGCATCTGCGACAAGGATCCCATATGTCAAACAGAAAAAACAAAGCAGCGCACCGCCTCCACCTTGCCGCTACGTAGAGGGGGATCTTCCTTGTTGGCTGTTGGGATGCACCACACGGTACAGCGGCGGGGGGCTCACCTCAACTTCAAGGCTCGCATTCGCCTCCGCTTCTTCCCGCTTGTTGCCCCTCGGGCAGCTGGTGCTACCGCCATTCGCCTTCCGCAACCCCACCAAACAACCTCCACATCGACTGAAGCTGGCCGCTGCAGCTATCGCACACACCAGCGCCAACACGGCCATTCTTCGTCCTCCTGGTGGGCGCGGCCACCACCCACGGCACGGCGTGCTACTGCGTTGTGTGTCGTCGTCCACAGACGGCAGCTGGACCGCCGCGGCATGGCCCGAATCGTCGTCGAAGCTGCTGTCACTACTGCTGCTCCTGCTGATGGTGCTGGTGCTGCTACGATCATCCCCCTTGGCCGGATACATGGGATCGAAGGCCTTGGAAATATCGGCCGTATAGTTTACAAGGGCGACAAACGTGAAGGCTTCCTCCTAGTTGACGCCAAGACTGTGCGTGTGACAGCGCGCAGACTAGTCAGCAGGGCGGAGGGAAGAATTTCTTGCCATCTGAAGTTGCCCCGCATACAGGTGGGGTGGGTATATGTCATGGGGCACCGTGGTTTCAGAAGGAGGGAAAGATCGCGCGAAAGCAAGCGGGCGGGATGGCGCGAAAGATCGCCGTGCGTGCACGATTACACGGTCGCACCCATCACCGTGTGCACATCTCTCGATGCCGTACTTTCATGAGTCACTGCCGACACGGGACTTAATTCAGATTGCGAGTTGTGGGCGCAGAAAATGTCTCGACGAGGAAGGTCAGGGCGGTTTGGATTTTGCTACATGGGGCGCTTGCTGGCTGCCCTGCTGTTGGATCGCACCACAAAGGCCTCTTTTGTGAGTGCCGAAGATCTCCTCTTCGAAGGGAGTATGAACGTTAGAACCCTGGACCGGAGGACAAAGGCCGCGCTGCAGCTGTTCGAGAGGTCAGACCCAGCTGAGGGAGAAGCAGAGCTGAGGGATATGGCCGAGAAGCATCCTTGGTACGCCCCGCCCTTCTTCTACCTTGGGCTTCTCTCACAGAGGAGACACGATCAGGAGATGGCTGTGTCATTGTACGCTGCAGCACTGCGCGCAGGTACAATAGTAGCGCTACTATATGGGGGCTATATCATCTGCATTCTTGGGTAACAACACACCCACGTTGTGCAATTAGCCCAGGGTATCACCGATCTCGCCGAAGGTTCATAAGATCGATTTACTACATGTCGTAGACGACACAAGATACCACACTCCCGGGAACCGGTTTCCATAGCTCGATTTCTCCGCAACAAAGAATAAGTGACAGTACCGAAAATGGTGGCGTTGAGAACGTCTCGGTCGAGAGTTTTCCGAAAACGTATCGTTTCTTTCATGCATCCTCTTCGACATGGAGTAAAATCGAGCTTTGAAATTCGTCCAGGGGGTGTGTTGTCTTGTGTCACCTACGGTACACACCGCAGTTCTACGTAGATATTACGTAGGAGAGATAGGCAAGAAAGCAAGGCTAAGAAAAAAAGCTAGCTCAATCTTGACCACAGCCTAAGATTCCAATTAAAAACAGGTAGCTAGGGGAGAAGTGTGTCGAATAAGAACATTCACTTCCTATTCCTATGTACCTACCCCACCTATTCAGCCCATCCATTCGAATAATACTCCCACACATAGCAAAGTCTTTAGTTTGTAAGTCTACGTGTAGTCTGCAGAACGGACCCGCAGTTTAAGAAATTAAGAAACGTCAAAATCGGGTCGAGACGCAGTTCCTTGTTTTGGGTCGAAGGACCAGCCGAATTCGTCCAATTTCTAGACCTTTTTTTACGCCATTGATAACGCGATTGTTACGCGAAAGCTCTGTGTGGCGAACATTGGGGGTTGTCGCCCTCCTAGTCTTACTGACTCGACCTCATCTTGGTCCATCTCGAGCAGCACGTGCGCCCCAACGTGACTAAATTTATCCGTTTTTACGACTCCAACGGCAATTGGAACAGATGCAACACACGTCGATGCGACCAACAACATCGGGGCGGCACTAGCGGCCCTTCCACGATCCGACCGTACAAGAGTGGCTGAAGCTTCGGGTTTTTTGCCACCAGTTGCAGAAGAAGAAGACGGCAGAGCCCAGGAGTGGGAAGGCGCCACCCGTGGGCCGGTCAAGAGCGAAACCGAAACTTATAGGGTTGACCAGGTGATCGAGAGCTTGTTTCGCAGGGCCCTTGACTTGGACGCCAAGCATCGGTGGGCGCTGAACAACCTTGGCCTTCACCTGCATGCCGGTAGCCGTGACGACGAGGTGAGAAGTAGAGGAATAGCAGTTGTCGATCGTCCTCGCAACCAGCTGTTGGGCCGCTTTGTGTAGGGATTTCTGGACATTCAACAAAGATCCAGTTATGACCCAGTCATGACTTACTTGTCTTCCGTGGTCATGCAACAACACAACGGAGTGCCCCGTAACCACGGCACGCCGCGGAGGGGAGACTAGCTGCCTGAATGCCTACCCAACCTTCGGGCTACGTGTCGAGGTAAAATAGTGGAGATCCCCTGTTCGAAAGTAGGAAGCGGAGGGGGTCTCACCGACATGCTGAGCGCCCCATCCTTTTCCTTCCGCACATGGGCTGGGTCTAGGCTGTAACCGTATTTACAAGAGCGCTTGGACTATACCCTGGAGACGCGGAGGTCAGCTACAACTTGGGGGTATCCCTGCAAGCGCTCGGAAGGGCTCAAGCAGCTGCCCAACGTTTTGCGGCTGTCATAGAAACCGATCCTCAGGTAAGTCTCAAATAATACTACTGTTTATCATGTTTTCTTCTCAGGGGTCGATACGGTCTCTAGAGGTTTCACCAATCAATCTGAAGCAGGATGGACACCCACTTCGAGGCCCGACACCAATTTTCCGGAGTTTGGCAAAAGCTTCTGTGCTTTGGCAAGCGTGCCAATCCTCAAGGGAGATTTTTCGTGTTTGTATTATGTACGAGTTAGTTGAAGTGTCGTGACGATGCGTGGGGCATTAGGTAGGATGAAGAAGTATGCTACATGCAAGAAGGGACAGCCAGCCTTCATGACATGGTCAGTCACCGCTCACCGGAAGAGAGAGCGCGAAACGAGAGAAAGGTTGTCACACAACCCGTGATGCTTGTGGCACGACAACAGTCAGCGGGCGACGGTTGTATCTCTTAGAGGACCATCACGGTTAGTTGAAGATTGCTGCCGAAATAAACGCTTCATAAAGTACCCAACGTGAAGAGCCCGCACAACGGACACGGGAATTCAATGCCGAATTCATGCCGAAAAAATAGGTGAAAATGTCGCCCAATTCGTGACCTGTGGAGATTGTTGGCATTGTTCCAAGACGAACAAACAAGACATACATTCCTCCGATTCCTCGCTTTCATTGTTTTATCTGAAATAGGTAGTACCAAACCACCCACAAAATACATCACGAAGAAAAACACAACGCATGGCACGTAGCAATATGTGTCGATTGTTGTGTTCCGTACCCTCCGTAGCATAGGATTGAGCATGGGATTGCATAAGCGACCGCATGTATTCATCAGTTGATCTTTGTGCGTCTCCTCTTTGTCCCCCACATGGGCTGTAAGGTTCGGCTTGCACGACGTGATGCCTCGCAGCTCTTTTGATGGGCTTACTAGAGATGACGGGGCATCGCCTCTGTGCCTTCCAGATGGACTATTCGGTTCGTCTTGTGTCCGTTTGGGTTGGCGGGTTCGTCGCAGATTTCCGGGACAGACTTGGTAGAGATGACGCGGTTTCTTCGGCTAGCGATGGCGATGCGACGCACAGGGACGTTTTGTAAGTACAACCACCGTGAGCAGTGATGTTGGATACCAAAGGGATCGAATTCAGCTGATGAAGAAGTAGTGCCACTATCCATGTAGTCGCATTTTATCGAACGTCCCATTAACTCGACTAGCGAAGCGAACTATAATAGTTGCTCTGGAACGATTGCCCAACGGCGACATGATATGACACACCGACGGGAGAATAGTGCGTTCCTCGATCGAGAGATACCGACAGCGTCGGCAGTACGCCGAGGTCTCCTCGGACCAGAAGAAAGGACTGTCCGTGGCGTTTGTTTCGGTTGTTCGGCGGCAAGGCCCATTCGCACATCGTAGCGTCAAGCACATTCGCACAGTGCGGGCAGAGAGTTTTACCGCGATGGAAGCGTCCGAAGATGTCCTGCGACGAATAAATCTGTAGTCTTTCCGCCGATGGACGCGGCGTGACCGTCTGGGATCGTGGTCACCGTGGCATGAGGTCAGCGATCTGGTCCGGAGTCGTGTGCCTTTGGTTGTGATCGTTCACGCGGCAGTTGAACTCGTACTCACAGCAGAGTACCAGGTCAACTGCCACATGGACGACCATATCCAACAACACGCGACTCAGGACCAAACCGCCAACCTCAGGGATGCCATGGTGATCACGATCCCAGATGGCCACGCCGCGTCCATCGTCGGAAAGATGACGGAGTTCTTCGTGTCAGGACAATCTTTGGACGTTTCCATCCCTGTCAAAGCTTTCCGCCCGCACTATGCAAATGAGCTGACACTACGACGTGCGAATGGACCTTGCTGCCGTACAACCCAGGCGAACGCCCCGGACAGGCTTTTCTTAAAGTCTTCCTGCGGTTTCCGAGGAGATGTCGGCCTACCGCCGACGCTATCACAATATCTCAATTGTGGAACGCAATATTCCCCCGTCGGTGTGACATACCATGTCGCCGTTGGGCGATGGGTACAGAGCAACCAATTCGCTTCGCAAGTCAAGCTAGCGGGCGTTGGATAAAATACGACAGCATCGACAGCGGCGGCACTTGTTCATCAGCTGAATTCGACTCCTCTTGGTAACCAATCGCTGCACATTGGTGGTGTACTTACAGACCGTCCCTGTACGATGCGTCGCCATCACTAGCCGAAGAAACCACGTCATCTTCAGTAAGCCTGTCCAGAAGATTTGCGAGGAACACGGAAAGCCACACGGATTTCACACAAGGAGCCGAACAGTCCACACGGAAGGAAGAGAGGCGATGCCCCTTCATCTCTAGCAAGCCCATCAAGAAGAACTACGAGGCATCACTTTGTGCAAGACGAACCTGACAGTCCATCTTGAAAACAAAGAGGCGATAGAACTACATGCGGTCATTTATGTAACCCATTAACACAACAATCAAAGATGTTGCTACGTTGTGTGTATTCCTTCGGCATGAACTCGGCATTTCTTTCCCGTGTCCGTTGAGCGGGCTCTACACGTTGGGTACTCAATCGTGTGTTTAGACAATTGCTGGTGGGGGGGCACCGCAGTCTCTCCTTAACGCTTGTCCCAAAGTATAAGAATGTTTTTCTCTCACAGCCACCTTACCAGAATTAGTCTACGTCCTGTGACAATATGTTGTTGAAGAGTGTGGTAGTTAGGGACTTCACAAAGCTTCATACCGGCAGCAAACCTCACCCAACCGTGCTAATTCTCTC